AAATAAATATTTCACATATGAAGTGACGTTTGAATTTGTAAATTAAAAACTAATTATGTTAATTACTTCTTATTCAATGTTACCCAATTTCTATTTATCATTTTCCTGTAAGAATGTATAAAACAACTGTTGGTAAAATGTTGGCATAACTGGAATAGGCCAGTGTCGTGGTTTAAGCCCAGCTGGAAATTAAACACCACAAAGACATTCGTTCAGCCTCTCTCTCCTCTTCCGAATCCAGTGGAATGGGGAAGAGAATCAAAGTAAAACTTGTAGGTTGAGATAAGAACAGTTTAATAATAGAAAATGAAGTAAAAATACAGTAATAATGGGAAATGATAATGATGACAATAATAAGTGAGAAAACAAATTATGCCCAACACAATTGCTTGCCATGGCCTGACTGATGCCAGAGCCCCCTTCCCAAATCCAGATCGGCCCCAGTGCTGAGGGGTAACTCCCCCCAGTTTCTATACTGGGCATGATGTTCTTGGTCTAGAATATCCCTTTGGTCAGTTCAGGTCACATGTCCTGGCTATGCTCCCTCCCTTTTGCATACCTCCTCACTGGCAGAGCATGAGACAAGAAAAAGATCCTGGTTTTAGGATAGATGTGACAAACGTGACTTAGAAAATGCGAAACATCAGTGTGTTATCAACACCACTGTCATTCCAAATCCAAACCACAGCACTCTAATAGATAGAGAAGAAATTAACTCTATCCTAGCTGAAACCAGGACAGCCAGTAAAAACCTAATCTGGGTTGTTGGATTTGGTGGCATTGATTTAATATTATTGAGTTCTAGTGTGGCTGAAGTCAAGCCACAGGTTTATGTGTTGCTGTAATTTAAATAATGCTAGAGTTGCTTGACAGTAAAAGGTTGTTAAATGGTGATAGGAACAACCTGACCTTCAGCTTCTAAACAAATTGTGTGAAGCACTAGTGTGACCACTGCTGTTAATAATGTAGTATATTATCCTTGTTCTATTCTGTTTCCTTTTCCCTGAAACAGAGGAAATGGAGAACAACAAGTCCTCCGTAACCATTTTTAAAAATCAGAATAAGCTCCAATTACATAAACCTTGCGTGATGGAGGCAGGAAGGAATATTGTTAGAGCATGCTGCAGTTCATTAATTTTTAGCCGCTAGATGATCCCTGGAGCCTGGTGTTACCTAACTTATACAGAAACATCTTCTAGATTATTCCAACTTGAGCCAGGAACTAGAAGAGAAGGACAGCCATGAATACTTCCCTGTTGGCTCCTTCTGTAGCACCTATCAGAAACTCAGCAGGAGAGCTAATCTTTCCTGGGTAAATTTGGTAATTTTTCAAGTTTCTAAGTTCTTTTTCCCATGAAATGTTCCCCTGAAACTTGCAGTATTGCCAATATTGTTACCAAAAAGCTTGCTTTAGTTTTGTCACCAGAGAAAGAGAAAATTAAAATATATATTTTAATTAAAAAAGAAAATACATTCAAATATATTTTTAATGAAACTATGAGTACAGTATACATAAACAGAAAAGTCCTCCAAATTGGTTGCAGGAACTAATTTGATGGTGATGTTCTCTAATGGTGATGGAGACCCAGGTAGTAAATCATTACTGGTTGCCTAATGGGAAGATCCTACTGTGAAAATAAACAGCTGTCCACAATAAAGAAATTGTTTACAAGAAACCATTACATGTCAGACACTTATCCTGTTGAGAAATGAGGGAAGCCATGAAGTACTGAGCAGTTGGATATTTTTCTGGGTTGTTTATTTCAAAGAAAAATATTTGGCTTCTTTTTGCAAAGTTTTATTTTTAGACTCTAAAACATGATCCTTTTTTTTGTGTGTGTTGCCACTTAATTTTGCTTGGAAGGAAAGACTGTAACTACTCTTTTCTGAGATTGTTGCTTATTGTGTATGTTGCTGAATTGGTTATGATTGTCGTCACACACTATAGCTGGAGAATTTCTTCTCAGCTCTGTTTAGTGGAGCATATAACAGCCCTTCCTCCCCTCATGAATGGCTTCCAATAAGTTTCCCTTCCAAGAACATCATTCCCAGTCAGTTTGATGCCACTTGTGTGGGACTGTATTTAGGGGCAAAACCTCCTCTTCAGTGAGATATCATTGATCAGTGTCAATAAAAAGTCTTTCTTATGCAAAGACAAAAAACTTGACCCCTCTGTTACCCTCTTCTGCATATTTAAAGTGTGGTTAAACTGAGATGAGGTGATTATCAAATAAGCTGGTGGGCAGAAAACTGTATTTGTTACCAACAGCACCAGTCTGTATTTCTCTCTGTCCTTTAAGTGATCCATCTTTGAGATACTTCTGCATCTGCAAGACTCCCCGATTTCACTTGCAAGGCTTTCATGTGCTGAATAGCTAAAGGGCAGCTGTGCTAAACACAGCCACCCAGGGAAATAGTGACGAAAAGGACCAGGGACTGCTGAAGTAGTTTGTGGAAGAATTTGTGCTCTTTATAGATTTAGCTGTTTGTCAGAGACAGTAATTCTGTTTTTCACACCAGTGAGTACGTAAGTGCAGTAAGTGCACTTAGCTAGACTCATGTGGAGGATTTCTGACTCTAGAATGTACTTCTTACCTTCCAGATGGTGCCTGTATTCCCACATTTCTTGACAGTGTAGTCCCTTTGACCAAGCACGGTGCAGGGCTCTCTTAAAGGAACTCCCTGATTCCTCAGTCAGGAGGTTCATGGCTGATTATGTATTGATGAGTCTGTCCACAGAGTGAAAGAAGATGCTATTTCATATTCTGGAGCAAAAGAGGCTGAGACTTTCAGCTCAACTAAGGTGCTACTAACACTCATATCTAGCCTTCCTCCTCACTATGAGATTTTCAGAGTATGGCAAGGCTTTCGTGGGGTCTCTTCTTGTCGAATCCCTGTCCCTCCTTTGATGAGCTGGGCTTTCAAATTACAGTATACTCATTTACGTGGGGCATGTGAACAGGTTTAAAGTTAGAGACCAGGTCAGACAGGAAGGCATAAGAGGGGCTTAAGGCTTTCTGAAATGCTATCAAAAATCTTCCACATCAGGTATGTTATTATGAGGATTCACAGTAAGTTGGTTTCTAAGGCTGTATAAAAATTCTTTTGATTCATGGTATTAACACATATTTATTAATTTCTGAAACAAATTACTTCAGATTCAAGATTTCTGTGCACATTTGCAATGATTCAGGAAGAACTAACTGATCTGTGTTTTAAGAGTGCATACCTAAAGGACTGGCAATTTTGATGAGATACTTTTCAAAACAGTTGGACTTGTCTGTTTCTGTGATGGGGGGGTGACTGTCAGATAACAGGTAACACCTGAGGTTATCTACAGGATGTGTCTATTCTTGATATCTGCCAAACTGCCATCTGAACTTTTGTTTACACTTTCATTAAGTGTAATGGTATTGCTGAAACGTTCCAGCCTGATGTTATTTTAGAAGAATAATTTGTCAGTCTGTATTTGATTAGAAACTTAAAGACCTCATGCAGTTACATAGTGTTTCTGCAGGAAGTATATCTTAGAATCATCCATGCTTTCATATCTCTAAGTGTGAAAGACCATGAAGTCTCCACTCTTGCAACTCTTCCTCTTTATCCTTTGTTATTGTAACTGGGCATTTCCTTCCTTTTGATCTCTCTGTTACGCTTCCAAGAATTTCAGGTCAGTAGGGAGAAGCTTCTGTCATGGCTTTCACAGAGGTGTTTCTGACTTGTGCAGATGGAGGAGCTTATGTGTGTACCTGCAGAAGTTGGTCAGGCAAAAATTCTCCAGCTTAAGAGAACTGCTTTTTCTTATTGGTGTTCGGGTTTTTCTGGAGATGATTTATCCACAGAGTGGAAGCACATGTTGGAGAACCACTGCAATCGCAAGTAAATGGCTTTCTCCTGTGAACTCTACAGTTGTCAGTTGAGGCCCACACACATAAGATTTGAATGTAATCATTGTCTTAAAGCAGAGCTGCAGCTGTAACAGCACATTTAGGAGCATGGAGCACATGTCTTTGTGAATCACAAAGAAAGGTAATCTATGAATTCACAGACACGGTAAAGATAGAGAGCTGTGCACAGGCAATGACATTTTCCCCAGAATCTGAACTAATTCATTTCTTTGCTGATACAATTCTAAAGGTGTGAAGTAATGTGGAGTTTTTGGCCTCCTGCTAAGTCATACTGGTGCTCAGCTACTATCACAGCTGGAAACCTATTTCGTAGTCCTCTCTGTACTCTGATCTGATTTTCACTAACTTTACCTTGATCAAAAAACACTAAGAACATTTAGAGAAAGTAAGAATATTTTAAGTCCTTTCGGTGGTTCTTTACAGTGCCATAAAATGGTAAGAGCAAAATATGACCAAACAGCACTTTCCCATATAAGTGCACATGTGTAGATATTTTTAAGCCAGCTGTAGATTATCTAGCTGAGATACTGCTGGAAAGGTAGCTAGTGCCATGTAGAGCTCTGTGGAGGATGCACATTTTAATTGAGAAACTGAATACATTTTTATGTAATTAATGTTTGCTGGTCAGTTACACTGATCACAATGTTCAGGAAAGCGGTTGATGATGTCTAGTAGCATGCTCTAATTTGAATATGTGTTTATATAACATGTTGGGCTGGATTGTATGTGTTAGGATTTTCCAGGATGAGGTAGGAGTTGCGTTATTAATCTCCCTTTCAAGTCACCCCTGTTGTAGTGGTAGTATTTGGATTCACAGTTGCTAATGCAATATAAAGGAAGTAAAATATTTGTGCTTAGTTTCCACTTCATTTTGTTTAAGTACTGAGAGAATGGTGTGTCTTGCCTTAACATAGAATACATGTATGCACTGACAAAATAAGTGTAGATATGCGATATATTCCTCAGCAAATATATTTAAATTATAATAGGTTTTGTAAGTTGAAAGAGTGTTCTGTTTTCAAAATTGTTTTTTTTTATTTTAAAATGTATGAAACATTTGTAAGTTCACATAAATTATACTTTTGTTCGCAGATAACGCACCTCAGGTAGCAATTACCGCACCAGGATCTGGTAACCATAGAAACAGCTCTACAGGCCCAACACCTGACTGCTCTCCTCCATCACCAGACACTGCACTTAAAAACATAGTGAAAGTTATACGTCCTCAGGTAGGTGCTTGCCATAAGCAGCCTCTCATTAGTTGTAATTTTTGTTTCAGCAGCAGGCTACGATGCGTGCGTTCTAAGAGGGTGTTGTCACTTAACACATGCAAGTAGGTCAAAGACAGATAAACAGAACACAAAATATTTTTTGTATTTAAGAAACAATCTTGATGGCAGGAGAAGATAAAATATTTTATGAATGAGCCCAAATGTATAGGGAGCTATCAGTACATTTTTCTTGTACCGCTAGTGATGAAGTCCTTATGCAATATTTTGTAATTTTACATACTATTAGTTTTCTTTCCAGTATATGTTCTGATTTTATCACTGTTAATTCCATATTGCTTTTTCAGGTTTACTTTCCTCTTTCTGCCTCTCCATTTACATGAACTTACAATATTTCATAACTTCTTTGGTTTACCTTCCCATATAGTATTTTTTCTCAACTTTCATCCTTCCCAACTATCCATATTTCTAATACTGTTCAGGAAACAAGATGCACAATTCGTGGGAAACTTGAGTGCTCCTTATGATTCTTGAAGGAGTACAGCCTTTAAAAATAAAAACTTAACGAGAAATACATCTTAGAACTTGAGTTGGTAGTGTAGAGGTAATCAGCACAGAGCAGTTTATTTTAGAATCACAGGATCATGGGATAAGATAGATCAGAAGAAACCTTGGGATGATCTAGTTCCTTGTTTAAAAAGCTGTGACATTAGGTGTGCCAAAACTGGTTGTGACAACTGCATGATCAGTTGAATAACTGTGAAACTTTTTGGTGTGAACCTAAAGAACTTCTATTCCTCTCCTGCCAATTATTGGTTTCAAATGCAGCCATCTGTTCTTTATTACTGAGCTGCAACTGAGCCACTCTGATGCTGGTGATGTATCATCAACATGTCACTGGCATTTGTTTTACTTGAGAAGTAAGCTGATGGATAGATGATATTTTCAGAAGAATTATGTAGGACAGATTGTTTTGGTACCACACAACTGAGTGTTTTACAATGTTGGAGGTGAATCTTCCTTTCCATACTCATTGGAGTACACAGTTCAGCAAGTCTTGCAAAATTGTAGGTAATCACTAGGTGTACTACCCATTTGTGTCTAGGAGCCCTTGGGTTTCCAGTGGCTGACACTGTCGCTGAACAATAATTCTAGTGACTGGTGGATGCAGACTGTCCTTCTCTTGACACTACCATAATTTGGGTTCCACATCCTGGTTTAAATCTAGATTGCAGGAGGTCTAAAATAACAGTTTCTTCTCCTTTTTTCTTTTTATAGTTGTTTCTCACTTAGCTTGTTCCTGTAGTGTCTCTGTCCCTCCCACCCTACATCAGTATAGTACTGAAATGTCTCCTTCCCTCTAAGCTGTTTTTTATAGCAAACAAACAGAAAGGTACTGGAATATTGTTGGAACAAGCTGTTGTGTGATAGTTTATTGAAAATAGCATTTTAAAAGCTGTTTCCATCATGATATTGCCAACAGATGGACCCAGAACACTGAATGGTGATGTTCTCCTGCTATTAACTCTGAATGGATTCGGCGGATTCTGGGGAGCTATATTCAAATTTAAATCATACCATTTACTGACTCCCAGCATTCTCATCGTTTTGCAGAACAAAAGCTAGCTGTGTGATATATATGGTCAGAACTTTACCACATTTTCTAAAATGTCTCCCGTGTGGTCCTACACGTGGCATGCTTTCTATACAGAAAGCAACAGCAGAAAGGCACATGTAGACGAGTGCATAATGTGTGTTGTAAGTCTATGTGCTAATACATGACAAGTTGGATACACCATAGCATTCAGATGCCATGTGTTTAATCCACATCCCATCAGTATTCTTCTTTGGTTTTGTTTTTGTTGCTTATCTGATCACCTTCCCCCAAGATCTCAACTGAAAAATTTAGACAAAGAAGTTGTAGATATTTGCAATGTGCTGTTTGCTAACCGCTAGTGTTAATGCTGCCTGCACATTGAATTCCTTTATTCTGTTCAATTACATGGCAAGCTCTTTGAAGGTTAGCACAATGGGATTCTATTCCTGACTGACCTCTCACCACTCATGTAAAACTAATGAATAGTGTTACACAATGTATGCAAAATAATTAATTTTCTGTTGGCTGCCAGGGCCTCTTTGCATTTTTCTAGCAAAATAAATAGATTTTGAACAGATCTAAGCCAGGGATAATATAAATTTCCAAAACAGCTGTCGCTCCTTTCCCTTTTCATGTCCAGCAGATCCAGCACAGGAAAGTGCCAATAAGAGGCAGAATGGGAAACTCTTCAGCAGCTGCTTTGCGCTAGGCGGGCTTTGGCAGCTTGGATGAAACTGCCAGGGAAGTCTGGCCTTTCAACTGTTATTTTTATTTTAATTTATAACCTTATCTTTCCTGAAGAGTTGTACGTGCAATGGTTTACTAGCTGTGAGGAGAGACATTGTGTTTCTGTGTAACCAGGACAAGAGGATGTAGTCTTAAGCTGCACCAGGGAAGGTTTAGGTTGGACATTTGGAAGAATTTCTTAACAGAAGGGGTGATTAGACATTCAAATGGACTGCCCAGGGAGGTGGTGGAGGTGTCTGGTAAAATCAAACCATCTCTGGAGGTGTTTAAGGGAAGACTGTATGTGGCATTTAGTGCCATGGTCTAGTCAACATCATGGTGTTCGGTCATAGTTTGGACTCAGTGATCTCAGAGGTCTTTTCCAACCTAATTGATTCTGTGAACTAGCAGCAGAAAACCCAAAGATTCTTTCCTCCCACCAGTCTGGTGAGGACAGGTGGTGGCAGAGAGGGGGAAAAAAGAGAATTCTGAGGTTTGATGGGAGAAGTGAGGATCATTCTACTTCTTTGTCCTTTTCTTTCTAGGAGTATGTGCCAGCTGATGTGATGGTAGGGCATATATACAGGCTTTAGTATGTGACAGATTTTGAAGATGTTTGTATGAATGTGAGGTTTAGCACGATGCAGTGCCCCCTCCTCACCTGGCCCTAAGTATTCCCTTCATATATAAAAAATATACGCTATCCCAAGACCTGGCTAGGAATTCAATTTTCCCCCAACCTTTCACTCACTTTTCTGAAAACTTATCCTTTCTTCAATTAATTATGATTAATTTTGAGGTGAGAAACCTGCAGTTTGTTGTGACCCTACCACTTGTCCCTTATGAGATCCCATTGCTCTATAAAATCTATTTTAAACTCTCTTTGGATATGTCTCAACTATTCAATTCAGTATAATATTACTAAAGCTGAAGCCCATTTTAATGGAAATGGTTTATCTCCCTGGCACGGTGCAATACTCTAGAAGGATAGTAACTGAGCTCTCAGAAACAGTATTAGGTTCAGTGCCACTGTGCCACCCACCTCTACTACCTTCAGTCCTGAAAATGGCACACTTTTCAGTATTTCAGGGATTTGTGTACTCTTTCAGCTGTGCATCTTAGCTAAGGTTTGTACTTCTGCTCTAGCATTTTGCAAATATATTTCTTGTTTTCAAATTTTCCCACAGTGAGTCTCTAAAAAGAAGAGTTTGTTGAAAAGTTATGTGTATGTAGAGAAGAAGTAAACAGAATGTAGCTCAGGTTTTAATTGCTTGATCTTTTTTTTCCTGGATTGTCCAGACAAGACTTAACTAAGTCTTTAGCTCATGAATTGCTAGTTAGTGAAGACTTTGAGAAAATAATACACTTTCAGGTTAAAGATGCATGCCTCTGTGCAGTATACTAACAGCACATGGGATCAAAAATGAGATGTGCTAGGAGACCAAGTAAGTAAAGTCTCCTTCAAGTTTTAACTCAGTTGTGTTAGTACATGTAGTCAAATATAACGTATCAGACTGGAATTTTAGTAAGTGATAGTAAAATTGAGCTTGTTCTATCACAATTCCTAAAGCTCTCAGTTTGGATGAAGCCTGAACAAAGTTGGGCTACTTGTGATGCTTCATGTGTTTTTTATTAGCTACTCAGTTTAATGAGATTCTCCTTACTTATTTACTTGTTCAGCTCCATTTGAACAAATAAGCTATATCCATAGAGAAAGGAAGGCAACCTTTATTTCCTAAGAGACTATTTCTTTTGCTGGTGCTGTTCACTCGTGGGTCTTGGACCAATTCTCATAAAACTGAATTCTGACTTCTTGCCTTTAAATTTGTTTATTAAATGTAGTCCAGCATTTGCATATTCTCTTCTTGTCTTTTTAAGATATATTTCAAATGGCTTACTGTAGGTACAGCTTTTGATGTCTAAATGTGGATTATTTTAAAATTACTTTGATTTTATCTATCATGAATTAGTATTTTCCTCATTTTGTGAGAATAATTCAGTTTCATAAAAGTGTTATTTCAGTGATATAAAGAGGGTTTCTGGTAGAAAGACAAAGAAACAGAGAATTTCAGGGTTCCTGACATGATGAAATTTCATCATCTTGTTCTTTCTGGTTTTATTGCTAAGATATACAATAATCTATTCATTATAATTTTTTTTTCCTATGGATTTGGATGTTCTGTCTTTATGCTAGTATTTTTTTTTCTATTTATCTTTTTTAAACCTCTGAAGAAATTTACAGTTTAATCTGTGGTTCTTCATTCATCTGGCTAAGACATCTATCAGTATAACAGAAGCTAATAGTTTAAACATTAGAGGACAAAAGAAATTGTCTCATTTTTCTGCAAGTGCAAACAGAATCCTGCAGGACACACGTAGCCTCTGATAGACCTATCCCACTTGTTTGGGCTACCAGGTGTACAACTATTTTGTCCATGCACAGTGAGCCTGTCAAACCTGTGTATATGTGGTTCATCTAGGCATAGGGAAAGACAGGGACCATGACATTCCATTGCCTGTATCAGCCTGGACATAAATGGACAGACTAGCTGTTAGGAGATAATTGTTCCAGAGCCTGTCTAGCTCACTTAAAAAGTGGTAGTAATTTATGTTCAGTGAATTTTTTTTTTTTCCCCAGATAGGTGCAGGAGTTACTTTGAACACAAACAAACAAACA